TCCCCTTCTTTTCATAATCTACTTACTCCCTCTTGGCAATATCTTCAGGAAATTTAATATTCATTTTCACTGCTATGCCGATGACACCCAGCTCTACTTCTCTACCCAACCAAACCCCTGCTTCCTTCATCCTCCCTTCTCAGTTGCCTCACTGAAGTCAGATCCTGGTTTTCCAACTTTCTACAGCTCAACAGTAATAAGACTGAGATCCTCCTCACTGGCACCAAGTCATCTCTATCCAAGACCAGTTCATTCTCACTCAGCTTCATCAACACCACACTTCTCCCCACCGCCAAAGCTAAGAGCTTGGGTGTCATCTTAGACAACACCTTATCTTTCATTCCTCATATAAACAACACAATAAAAACTGCTTATTTTCATCTTTGCAATATCAATCGGCTCCGCCCCTCCCTCAGTCAGCACTCCACTGATATTTTGGTCCACAGCCTGGTCACCAGTCGCATCGATTACTGTAATGCCCTCCTCTCTGGTCTCCCTTTAAAATCACTCAACAAGCTACAGTTGGTCCAAAATCCAGCTGCACGGATAATCACCAAGACCTCCACTTTTGATGTTTATGTTTATGTTTATTCGCTTAGCAGACGCTTTTATCCAAAGCGACTTACAATTTATAACCTATAGGGTAGGGCTGTAGCGAAGCCTCGATGACGTCGACGGCTCGATTCTAAAAATTTGTCGACGTCAGATCCGGTAGTCGACGCACCGCGCCCACTTGTTGCATCCCCAGGAGTTTGTAAATAGAGGTGGAATCTGCCTGTTTTTCCTCTAGTTTGCCCTCTTCTCCGCCTTCACTAACATCTCCGCCAAATACCAAAGACGCGGAACAACGTCCGTCCGCTACTAGGTTCCTTTCGTGTTTTGCCCGCCTTCGTCTCCCGGCAACGAACAACAACTTCCGGGGTCAAATGCGCTGCTCCGTCTCTATCGCAGATGCAGAAAATCACCGGGAGTGTTTCTCCCTTCATAAAGGAGCTTCTTTCAGACATTAGGAGAGCTGTTTTGGTGGTAGCAGTCTCTCCTCCATGCTGGTCTGTTTGCTGCTGGGTGTTTTTGGTTTATTTAAACTTGGTAACTTGAACTTAACGTTGGTAAAGCCACTGTTAGCATTTTCGCTAACAGCTTCTTGCATTTGGATAAGCTGTTACGTTTTGGTAACAACCAACACAATAAAAGCAGTGTTATACAAAATGGGAGGCCTGTAGTGTTTATTCTCTTACAATAACAATTAATCAATTTTCTGGAGGAATTTATTAGAGGTTTTTTGGGTTTTATTAACTGTGCAATAGAAAAATAATCATTAGATTAATTGTATAAATAGTCATTAGAATAGTCGACTATTCGATAAAATAATCGTCAGAATAATCGTTTTAAAAATAATCGTTTACCCCCAGCCCTACTATAGGGCATGTTGTGATCTGTGGGGGGAACCGGAGTACCCGGAGGAAACCCACGCATGCATGGGGAGAACACGCAACTCCACGCAGAAAGGCCACAGCCGAGTTTCGAACCTGCAACCTTCGTGCTGCGAGGCAACAGTGCTAACCACTGCGCCCTTGATCACATTACCCCTGTCCTGAAACAACTTCACTGGCTCCCTGTCAAGTACAGAATTGACTACAAGATACTTCTTCATGCCTTTAAAGCCATCCATAATCTCGCTCCCCCATATCTTTCTAATCTCCTCCACATTGTCACTCCCACTCGCTCTCTCCGATCATCATCTTCATCTTCCCTGTCTGTTCCTCGCACTCGTCTTAGTACTATGGGAGCCAGAGCTTTCAGCCACTCAGCTCCAAAACTCTGAAACACTCTACCGCCTGACCATCGCAATATAAACTCCTTCTCAACCTTCAAGTCTCAACTCAAAACTCACATGTTCCGCCTGGCTTACTCACTGTAACTGTCCTCCTTCCATCTACTCTTTTTAGTCTATTATCCATCGCACTGCTCCGACTCTACCTTTGGGACTTACTTTTAGCATTTATTTCTTGTTGTTTGTATTGCTTGCTTGTTATATTTTGTCCTGTACAGTGACTTTGAGAGCTTTGAAAGGCGCTTGAAATAAAATGTATTATTATCATTATTATGAACAGGCCTTCTCGTCTCAGGCAGGACAAGCTGGCCCCTATCTGCTCAATTTGGGACATGTGGACCCATTGCCTCCAAATGCTTTTCAACACTGGGTTAGATGTGTGTGCTGATGAGCAGCTTGTCCCTTTCAGAGGCAGGTGCAAGTTTCGCCAATATATGCCAAGTAAACCAGCAAAGTATGGATTGAAACTCTGGGTCTCTGCTGATGTTGCCACTTCCTATGCCTGCAAGTGTCAGGTTTACACAGGGAAAGCTGCTGGTGAGGCTGCAGAGGTCGGCCAGGGAAAGCGTGTTATTTTGGAGATGAACGAGGAGCTCCAAGAAATCACTGACGCATGCATGCATTCACACTTCTGCACTTTCATAAACAAACTGAACTACAAAGAGTTTGGATGTACCTGAGCTCCAGCCAGCTGCATAAACATATTGTTTTTGTTTTCTACCCTTCGATGTTCAGTAGGAGAGTGAAACAGTGTTTTATTTACATGCTGAGCTTCTGACTTCAATAAAAACAGCAGAAGATCTATAGAAATGTGTAAGCTTTCTCGCCTGGGTAACATATGTAGAAATAATAATAATAATAGTAATACATTTTATTTAAAAGCGCCTTTCAGGACACCCAATATGAGGCCAGAACAGTCTCGATAAGAATTAAGTCACACAACGTTTTCCACAAATGCACACGTTCATTCGGAAATCCACATTCTGTGTTTCACAAATATAATTCGGAGGAACACAAATGCACACACTCATTCGGAAATTCACACTCTTTGACTCATAAATATAATGTGAAAAAATAAGTCACGCAACATTTTCCACAAATGCACATGCTAATTCTGAAGTTCACACTCTGTGGTTCACAAATATAATTTGTAAGAACACTTGTAATATAAACTCAGATCATACGAATTGCTGAACGTGCATTCACGGACAGCTTCTCATTTGTGAACCTTCCTGCATTCGTGAGAGAAATCGGTGTGCTGAATTTTGAGACTCTCCTAACGTCGCAGGTCAACAAACGTCACCATTGGCTAGTGAACCTGTCAATCAAATATATGCTTCTGCCAGGGCTGTTCGCTTTCAGCCAATGGCTTCTTATGTTACAGAACAGATCTGCTGTGCGCATGTCGGACACAATTTCCTGCATGTGTAGCTCGGGGGTGAGATGGATGAAGATATCGCGTTAGCGTTCATACTTGTTTAATTTTCAATTTTAATTCTGGTGCCTGTTAGCAGCTGAAACACATCATCACGTGCTTGTGGATATCAAATATCGAAAATGAAAACATGACTGTTATAATAAGTAAAGGTTAGCAGCTGTAGCTTCAGTGTGCTCATAGGAAACATGACAAAAGAACACAAACCACATTTCTCTTTATGGCCTATATAGTTGTCATCATGAACGTTACATGATTTACAAAATACATGTGACCAACTAACATTTCATGTTCTACCACCGGATGTTTGGATCAAAATATGAACCAATCAGATCTTAGATCAGGTGAGAGCCAGGCGTTTCCCATCATCCCCTAGGTTTTGCAGCCAAGGGAGAACAACTGCAGCGCCTTGCTCCAAAATCTGCGGCCGCCTTGATCTCAAGTGGTTATCGTTGCCTACGTATGCATGACGTCAGAGCAAGTCGGCGTCAAGTCGGACACAAATCTAACCGGTTACATTACATTACCAACGCTCCACCATATGGGTGGCCTCTTAATAATCTTATTCAGAAAAATTATGCATTTTTACTAAGTGAAAGCAAACCCGTTAGCGGCAGAGACCTCTTGAAGCTCATATTAAACATTGTCTGCAGAGAAGGTAAGAGAAGCTAGTAAATCATCAGGCCTATTCCATGGGAGTGACTCTGAAAAGGAGCAAAAGCTCCAGCTCTTTATCTTGGCAGGTGTCTCTATTCTCCTGTGTTCAGGCTTTTGGTTACATCAGTTACTTTTCCTTTTAATGAGCTGCATATATTTCTAACACAGCCTTCAGTGACATCAAGAAAAAAAACTTTTTAATTGTAAAAGACATTATTCTCATTCTGAGAACAAATGAACAAACTGTGTGTGGGTATATGTGTCCAGTTGCAACTTAAAGCTTGGTTTATGCTTGACGCATTCACTTTCCGCGCGGTGATGCGGCTCGCGGCTGGAACGCGCTTCACAACTCGCAGCGTTTATGGTTTGTGCGGCTTGTCTCTGCGGTGAGCCAATATTCTCCCAAACTGAACGGGGCAGCATGGAGCTCTAAAGCATGCATCCAACACTACACCATAGTAGAAGTAGAAATGACTGTTTACAACACGGCATTTCAGCATTTTTAACAGCGTTCTCGTCTTTTCCGACAGTGCGAGCTATTTCTCTCCAAGAACTATTAACAACATGTTGATCACGGTGATCTCTGAGAGCTGAATCATACAAATGTCTGTATTTACGAACCTCTGCCGTGCCGGTCCGCCATGTTTTTCCGCGTCCGACCGTCCGCGTGGTTAGAAATTTTCCGAGGTGCGCGTTGCGGAAATCTTGGGCCGTGCGGAGACGCGGTGGAGGGGCGTGGTTGTTAAAATGACGAAACTTTTCCGCGCGGAGCCGTGCGGACCTCGCGGACGCGTCAAGCATAAACCAACCTTAACACAGACTCAGAAGCATAGAGAATCTTCTCACAACACCTAATCATCCCTTGATCAAAAAACCAGTAGATAGAATCTTGTCATGTTATTCCATTTAATAAGTAGATGGACGGAGGTATAGTACAAGTTTTCAAGTGTAATGAAGATGATCGCAGGGTAACACAGTTCCCCTTAAATGTTGAGCAAAAGTTATGAAACGAGACAAACTTCAAACAATAACATGTAAAAATAAATGGATCTCCTGATAAGTAGTTGCTTCACCTTTAAATGTTTTTATTAGAGCTGGATACACAGGAAGATGTATGTTACTAAACCAACACTAGCAATGATAGCACATTTACATTTTGAAGAATTGTAGCATAGATGAAGTGAACAGCAGCCTTTTCAAATACATTCCTGGTCTAAAATAAATCAGGGTGACAAAGACTTTAAGGAAATACACAACTATAAATGAATTTAGACATCTATTTTGGGGTCTATCCTTTAGCATTTCATATTTACAAAGGCAAATCCCTTGAATAACAATATACAGTACATTAACCTTAAAATGGACCACTCCTTCACTTTTTAACTTCCTTCCTTCCTGTCTCATTAATTGTTTTCTTTCTTCCTAACTCCCTACCTTCTCTCTCCTTCCTTCTTCACACATGTAATCATCTAGCCTCAAGTAAGTTCTCAACATACTGGACAGTGTGAAGATATGTGTCCACTCCCAAAAGAGTCTGAATGTTGCAACGGATTATGTTGTCCTGCAGTTCCAACATTTCATGATCTGTAAGAGGACTGTCCAGTACAGGGACATTGATCCCAGGATGAGGTTCAGTCATGTATCCATTCTCCTCCCATTCAATCTCTGGTGTCGGTATACCCTGGAAAAGGAAAGTGTGTATGAGCATTGTGCATAATGAATCTCAAGAAAACACATTTAATAAAGCCCTATCATGACCTTTTAACAATTACTTAACATCAATGATGTCAGGCAGAACCTAGCATCTCCATTATTTCATAAATTATTATTTTTTTAATTAATGGGCTACTTTTATGTTAAAACAGCAGAACCTAGCATCTCCATTATTTCATAAATTATTATTTTTTTAATTAATGGGCTACTTTTATGTTAAAACAGCAGTGAGAATATCACATCTGGAAGGTATAATGCCTTGCATTTTGAACTTGCAGATGTGTCATGACTTTGTAATGTCATGACATTATAGTTGAGTGTCCATTTCAGTAGAGGTGCACACAAACAGAACTGTAATTTCAACAGCCATTTTGTCTTGAATCCAAGAAGCATAGAGCAAAGGTAGATTATCAAAGTGTTGAACATTTGATTTTTAGTTAAGGATCAACTTGACATGTGATCAGTCATTTTAACAGAACATACATTTGCCCCTGGATCAGAAACAGGATTCAGAGCCTGGCCCAGATGCCACAGCTGATTTGGTGTCATGTTTTCCTCTGTCCTGATTGGATGGTTGTCCCACGCATCTCTAAAGACATCCAGGCTGGCCTGGATGCGAGACAAGAAAATATAGTGGCAACAAAACATGTGAAGGATGTTACTGATGTCGAGCAAGTCTTGGTCTTCCAGAGAGTGCAGGATGTTGTAATATAGACCAGTAACACTCATGAAGACATCACGCCACAGGCGCTCGATCCTGGATTTGGAGGGGGATTAAATAAAAGAAAATTATAATATACACACAAATTTACATGTCCATACATCCGTTTTCAACTTGAGTTATCTTTTGAATGGTCGCAGGAGGACTGGTGCCTATCTCTAGCAGTCACAGTGTGAGACCAAGGGTGCACCCTGGGCAGGTCAACAGGCACAGGCACACGCGCACAGACACAAAGCTTCCAAATTAGGTTAAACTCACCGTTGATTGTGTACACTTTTTCCTGCAATGAAGCTGTTGGTGTCAGTTCCACGAACTGAGAACATTAATTCTGCAACACCTACATTTTCTCCGCCATGATCTCCTCTCACCATGAAAAAAAAAACATTAGAATCTTGCTTCAAACATTTTTAATGCACATCTATAACAATCTACATCAATTTGAGTCTCACAGAAATTTCCTTATGTACCTTGCTACTAAGTGAGTAAACAATGTGGCATTATTAACCCTCTGCTGGGGAAATATTTTTTGAAAGAGGGAAATGTTCACACCCCCCCCCCCCCCCCCCCCCATAGATTTTACTATATGACCTCAAATGGCATGTTATCTTTGGTCAATAACACACTTTAGGCAAAAGCAGATTTGTAACAGGGTAACAGAGGGTAAAGTTGGGAATAACATGAATACCTCAGAGGAAAGCCATGCTCATTCACAGCTTCACTGAAGAAGGCAAGGTGGGTGTCAGCCCGGTTGTTGTCAGCTACCTTCAGGTACATGATCTATGTAATTCAAGCACAAACACTCTCATATGACTAGGGCTGTCGCGGTAACCGCAAAAATGAAATATCGCGATATGAAGAAGCCCACCGCGCTGCATCATGCGCCACCGCGATTACTGAACTTGGTTCAACTCAATGATGCATGTTGAGAAGGATGGCTGCACTGGTATCAAAACGAAACGTTACTTCGCTCCTGTGGGAGCGCTTTGGTTTTCAGTACGTCAGCTGCTGCGCAGCCAGAGTCCTTGGCCGAGACAGAGCTGCCACCAGCGGCAAATAAATAAATAAATAAACGCTCGGAGACCTGCTGAAGTCCCGGACAAGCACTGCTTCTGCAGCCGTCCCAAAGAGAGTTTGAGCCGAGCTGGAGCTCACTCGCTACCTGCAGGAGGAATGCATCCACCCTAAAGAAAACCCCCGTGACATGGTGGAGCAACAAACGGGAGATTCCCTTTGCTCGCCAGAGTCGCACGCAAGTACGTGTGTGTTAGTGCAACGAGCGCACCATCCGAGAGGCTTTTCAGTGTTGCTGCAAATGTTGCCACCCCTCTCAGATCCTCTCTCAAACCGTAGTTAACATGCTGGTTTTCCTTGTAGGTAACAAGGACGTGACCGAGCTATAAATCACCGTCATTCGTGTGTGTGAAAGTGAAATGATAGTACGCCCGCCCCCCGGCGCGCGCGCGCGCGCCCGGTACATGTAATTTTTTATGCTTGATTTTAAACAACTAAACAAAATGGGGACTTGTTTCTTATTTGTTAGATGCTGCAGCCAAATTTGCATTTAAAAGTTTAACCTCCTGAATTTTGTTGTTTTTAAGTTCAGTCGGACTCCGACTGTCGGAGAAACAAGCGTTACTGCGATCTGCGTTGTTACTGCCCTTTGATCTGCATTCAGTAAAGTGTTATTAAAGAAGGCACGGCAATTTTTAACCTTTTTTAAATGTGTAAACATTATGTTTAGATAGTACTGCAATAAAAAAGTGCTGCAATAATATCGCACACCGCAATATTAAGCCACCCTGAATCACCGCAGGGGGAATTCCTCAACCGCGACAGCCCTACATATGACACATTTTTATAGGGGTCAAAACAATCAATTACCAAATGAAAGGTACAACAGCCATACAATAACATGTTAGATAATTAAATAAGTTAAGATCTGTGAAAACCAAAAATAGCAATTATCTTCTATGAAAATATCTCAGTTATTAACGTTCATGCTTTGGAGCAGAAAAAGTGCATGACAGTTAAATATTTCAAGCTCAGTTCGCTCCACTCTGATGGTCACCTGTTCCAGCCAGATACCTTCTTTCTAGGCGTTTAAAGTCGGAAACTCGCTGAGTAAACTGGGTGCTTAGAGGAGTATCTTCAGTTGTTTAAGACTGAGGGTAACGCTGCACACGCTGATTCGACTAGCATGGATGCTAATGATGTAAACATAAAAGAGGGCTTGCTTCGTCTCGGGCGCTAACGCCGCAAAGCACTATGGGATTAGTAGTCTTATTAGCAAAATCGCCCGGCGGGCCAGTTTAATATTATATATTTGATATTTGATTTTGCGGGGCAAATAAAAATAGACCAAGGCCTTGAGTTTGACAACCGTGGCCTAAAAAAATGGTACCTAGATACGCTAACTAAAGAAATGTTCACTTGAGTTTAGCTTGATGTTAAACTAGATGAAGAATGGACCAGACTTCACGTAACGTCTGGACTGAATTTAACATAAAACATTTTACTTGATCATGAAGAACGCTTCTACTCATAATTCTATAACATTGCATAAATTACAACGAGGGAATAAGATAAAACTATTACTCACAGATCGTGACCGGTCCATCCTACTCTGCCGTGTGAACTGCAATGCGCATGCGCACAGCAGATCTGTTCTGTGACATAAGGAGCCATATGATTGGCTGAAAGCGAACAGCCCTGGCAGAAGCATATATTTGATTGACAGGTTCATTAGCCAATGGTGACGTTTGTTGACCTGCGACGTTAGGAGAGTCTCAAAATTCAGCACACCGATTTCTCTCACGAATGCAGGAAGGTTCACAAATGAGAAGCTGTCCGTGAATGCACCACACAGATTTCACTCACAAACGCAGAAAGGTTCACAAATGAGAAGCTGTTCGTAAATTCACATTCAGCAGTTCGCATGATCTGAGTTTATATTACAAGTGTTCTTACAAATTATATTTGTGAACCACAGAGTGTGAACTTCAGAATTAGCGTGCGCATTTGTGGAAAATGTTGCGTGACTTATTTTTTCACATTATATTTATGAGTCAAAGAGTGTGAATTTCCGAATGATCGTGTGCATTTGTGTTCCTCCGAATTATATTTGTGAAACACAGAATGTGGATTTCCGAATGAACGTGTGCATTTGTGGAAAACGTTGTGTGACTTAATTCTTATTGAGACTGTTCTGGCCTCATAACCCAAGGTCACTTTACACAAAACACGTAATAAAATACAATAAAACAATAATAAAACCCAAAGAAGAAAAAACAGAGAGAAACATTTCAATAAAATCAGAGGTTGTAGGCAGATTTAAACATGTGTGTTTTGAGTTTTGTTTTGAAAAGGGTAAAACTGTCGACGTTCGTGATGTCTGGGGGAAGTGAGTTCCAGAGTCGAGGAGCAGAGCGGCTGAAAGCTCTGCTCCCCATGGTAGCGAGACGGGCAGAAGGAACCGCAAGATGGATGGAAGAAGAAGATCTGAGTGAACGGGACGGGGTGTGAATACTTATAAGGTCTGAGATATATGGAGGAGAGAGATTGTGGATTGCTTTGAAGGTATGGAGGAGAATTTTGAAGATGGACCTGAATTTAACTGGGAGCCAGTGAAGCTGCTGGAGAACCGGCGTGATGTGGTGAAAGGAAGGGGTTCTGGTGATAATACGGGCTGCTGAATTCTGGACCAGTTGCAGTTTATGAAGGAGTTTGTTGGGAAGACCATAAAGAAAGGGAGCAGAGAAGAAAGGCACGATTTAACTAAAACAGTTGGAATAGGGTCCAGTTGACAGGTGGAAGGTTTGGATTTGGTGATGTAATCTAATATTTCTGAGGGATGGGGAAGTTCAAAGGAGGAGAACGGAATGGTGGGTTCAAATAAATCAGGAGAGGGAGGGGAGGAAAGAGGTAAAGAGAGATGGATTATTGACCTTCTCATTAAAAAACTGAAGGAGAGAGTTACAGGTTTCTGAAGAGTAAAGATGGATGGGTAAGGAGTCGGGAGACTGAAAAATGCTGTTCATGATGGAAAATAATGTTTTAGTGTTGCTGGAGTTGGACGAGATGAGACCGGAGTAATACTGAGATTTGGCATGGGAGATGGAGTCCTTGTAGAGAGAAATCTGAGCAGAATATAAGTCTTTATGGATGGTGAGACCGGTTTTCTTGTAGAGTCTTTCAAGCCTCCGGTTGGTAGCTTTCAAGGAGCGAAGGGCAGGGGTGAACCATGGAGCAGACCGAGTAAAATATACAGAGCGGGATTTGATGGGAGCAAATGAATTAAGGATAGAAACCAGACCGTTATTGTACTGAATGACAAGATCATCGGGAGTAGAGGACAAATTAGGGGTCAGGGTGGCAAAACTGGAGGACAGGGAGGCTAGATCAATGTCCTTAATATTACGAAAAGAAATGATACGTGGTGACTTGATGATGGAGAGACGGAGGGGAACAGAAAAGGAGATGAGGAAGTGGTCCGTGAAAGGGAGCGGGTCAGCTGTACAGTTGGAGGGGGTCAGGCCGGAGCAGCAGATTAAATCCAGGGTGTGACCTTTAATGTGAGTGGGAAAATTGGCATATTGATGAAAACTGAGGCTGTCCAAAGATGAGGAGAAGTCTTTGCTGAGGGGGAGGGCCATATTGTCCATATGAATATTAAAATCACCCAGTAAAATTACATTTGGGGAAAGGGCGGACAGATGGGATAAAAGAGCAGAGAGTTCATTTAAAAACTCAGGGCTGAACTTGGGGGGACGATAAACAGTGACAATTATTGTGGGGGTCGGGCCGGAGAGTTGACAGGCGAGGCATTCCAGAGTGGTGAGAGGAGGAAGGTTTACGGGAAGGACCTTCCAAGTCTCGCGATAGAGTATCGCGAGACCACCGCCGCGGCCCGACCCACGGGGTTTGGAGAGGTAAACAAATCCGGGAGGAGTACAGTCATTGAGTTGTGAGAAATCGCTGGGTTGTTGCCATGTTTCGTTCAGACAAAGAAAGTCTAGCTTATGGTCACTGATGGTATCTTGGAGGAGATGTCCTTTACCAGAGAGGGAGCGAATGTTGAGAAGACCAAAATTAGCAGTGCGGAAGTCCCTGGCGACAGGAGCATTAGCCCGACTAGCCAGCCGGGCTAACAAGCTGGAGTCGGCAGCTCGGCAGGTATTCCTGGGTAGCCGCCGGCTAGTCGTGGACCAGAAGGAGGGTATTCCTTTGGAGCCGTCGAGATGGAGGTTCCGCCGGGACCCCGATGGATATACCGACGGCGAGGCTGGAAGGTGATGTCGGGGAAGAGGCACAGAGCTGGTGGTGGAGATCCGGAGTAGTGAAAGCGGAGGTTGAAGAGCTCCGCCGCCGAGTACTGGAGAAGGCCATCCACGGACAGAAGAATGAGCGACAGGATGATCCAGGCCAGTGAGAGGCACACAGAAATCCTGCTGGACCACATTATGGAGTGGAGCAGGGAGGTGGTGATGTGCAACCAGAACGCAAGCTGAGCAGGTAGGTGAAAAAGAGTTTTCACCGACACAGGGATGTGACTAGGGTGAAAAAGAAGAAAAAAAAAATACAAAAAGTTTGTTTGCCAGCGAGCAGCGGCAGCGAGACGCGCCAGCGTTCACTCAACCGGGAAATGACTGAATTTGGTGGTGAACAGTAAAAATCATAATTTTGACTACTTTAGTCCAAAATGAAACATTACATCACAGAAAGCATGAATATTTGATGCAGATAATACAGGATCAAAAACTGTGGTTTGCATTGAAGTCAATGGGACGTTTTTGTCCATAACAGGCACAAGAGGGTGGTAAATTTTAAATCTGCTGCTACACAAAAACTAAAAAAGCATAAAATGTGATATTTTGCCAGACTCTGGACATATCCAAGGCTGATTTAAAAAAGTTATTTCAGTCACTCAAAATATGTTTTATGTAAAATATCTCCTCTTTTGTCAGCTTTTTTCATGAAAAATGAGCATCACATAATCAAACTGGCATGTAAAGGGTTAAAATTTGATAAATATTCAATTTTTTTTTTTTCAATCAGAACTGAAGTTGATCCCAAGATTTAGACCCAAAAAGCAGAAAAAATTATTAGGGCTGAAACGATTCCTCGAGTACCTCGAATATTTCGAGTACAAAAAATCCTCGAGTCAAATTCTCTGCCTCGAAGCTTCGTTTAATTCATGGCCCGTGGTCATGTTTCACCCGGACCGAAATAAGTGACGCACTTACACACTGCACTGAATACACATGCGAGTAGCGAACGCAACTTAACTTTCTTTTAAGCCATGGCGGACAATGTGGACCCCGGTGGAGTGCGAAAAAGACACCAAGTGTCAAAGGTGTGGGACCATTTTTCACGTCGTAAGGCGGAAAATGTACTCCAGTGTAAATACTGTAAAATGGATTTAGTCTACCACAACACCACATCCTCCATGCTGCAGCACCTGACCAGGAAACATCCACATGTAAATGTCACTTCTGCAAGCGGACTTGGAGCCTCTACAAGATAATGCATTTTAGCCTGTATTTCTATATATTCTGCAGACACTGTGTGACTTTTTCATTTGTAGCACTTAGTTTCAGCTCACACCTATGTCTGGTAGCAACACGTCGGACTTAAAATGTGCTAAAAATAGCAGTTTTTACAACACGTCGGACTTTTTACTGTGTTGTTATTGATGTCCGTTGTCCGTCAAGATTGCTGCAGGAGGACACAGGTATTTATGAGTGGCGGAGGAAAACGAAATAAAGTAAATAAATGTTTTGTGATCAGTATAATTTGACATAACCACGGCAAACATGCTTTCGACAATCTTTGTTAGTGTGAGACAAAAAAAAGTGTAGAAATTAAAACGAACGTGTGTTAATAGGGAAACAGCTGGCGAGCCATGTTTGCGCATGCGCCGTGAGCAGTTCTGGTGCTGTTTGGGCCGCAGCCGCTCGCATTTGTTTACTGTGAAGTAAAGTTGAATTGCTGAAGTTTTGAAAACTAATTTTGAATAAAACTTGAAGAATAACTGGCAATTGCTTTCTCATTTCAAGAGGTCTTTCATATTTTATAAAATGCTATTTGATATAATGGTTTAAAAATGCAAAAGAGTAATTTATTAGAGTACTGGATTAATCGTTAAAAGATTCGATAGAGTACTCGATTACAAAAATATTCGATAGCTGCAGTCCTAAAAAATATAAATCTGGACTAGGGCTGGGCGATATATCTATATTTTTAAAACATCGGTATAATTTTAAAGCATGATATAAGATGACTTTATTTCTTTATATCGATATAACTGGTCAAACTGCTATGCTAGCGATCAGCCACTATGCTAGCGACATGCTGCTCCATCTCTAAGCGGCTATTACATGTATTCTTACACGTTTGCCCAATCTGAGAGCCTCTGGGTAAATGTGCTGCTCTAAAATTTGCATTTGGCGTTCTGGTTTTTAATTATTTGTGGACGTTCAACGTCAACGGAGTTCTGTTTTCCATCCTGCTTGTGCGGTGAGATGAGCCAAACCCCTCCTTCCCCTGTGTAATGAGGAAACAACTGCGGAAAGTCGGAGTGGCCAAATTACCTCAAATATATTGTAAGGGTTTGAATAGTAAACTACAGGGTTACTGTTTAATTTTGAAGGTGAGCTCAATTGGTTAAAAATGCTGTTCCGTTTTTTTCCGCTCTGGTTTGCTATGCTAGTAAATACTCCGTTATGAGCGATTCTGTGGAAAAAGTTAAGCGTTTGTAAGGCGTGGGTTACGGCGACATTAGCCCGAAAATATTACTCATAAATGAGCAACCAGAGACTCTGAGCCATTACAGTATAATCGCTGATATGAGTTAATACTGTTAGGGGTAGGAGGAAAAATATCGAGATATATCGTATATCAGAATTCAGCTAAAAGATATCGAGATATAAGTTTTGGTCCATATCGCCAAGCCCTAATCTGGACCATTTTTAAAGCTGGCTCGAGTGTATAGTAAATTTTAAATCTGTTGCTACATATAAACTATAAGTGCAAAAAATTCAAAATTTTAGATATTTCATAACATAATCAAGACTGATTTGCACTAAACACCCCAGGCAAAAAAAAAAGTCTTTTTTAGAAAATAACTCAGTTTTAGTGTTTTTTTATTTTATTTTTTTCATAAATTACATCAATGACTTTGGGTATTCCAACTGGCATTTTAGGGGTTAAAAGCCTCAAAATTAGGGCTGCTCGATTATGGCAAAAATAATAATCACGATTATTGTGACTGAAATTGAGATCTAGATAATTTAAGACGATTTTTCAATTAATGTTGATTTTATTTCTTTTTAGATGATCACTAAAATAACTCCTGATTCCCAGTATAAAAAGACCAATATACTTTTAGCTCATAGTTTATGACCCAAGGGCTATAGACCTTGGTTTAACTCATTTAAGTCTAACCAGTACAGACCCCAATACAAATATCTTGCAAATACTGACAGCAAGAATTATACAGTGGCATTTATAACAAATACATGCAAATAAATTGATGTTCACAAATTTTTGCAAATAAATTGATGTTCACAAATTTTTGCATAACATTTATTTAGTCGTGTCAAGGTGCTGTAGGAGTGTGCACTAGCACCGTGTCCTCAGCGAGGTTAGTTATTATTTATCAGCGTGAGGAACTTATTTCTATCTATTTCTACCTTATTTATAAACTACTTATTTCCAGGTCCATCAGTTAATGTAATAATTGTCCCAACCACAGCTGCACCCCTCAACTCGGTCTCACAGCAATCGGGGCAAGCTGCACGTGTGTTTAAATCACCGCACGCGCACATTTAGCTGTTTTTTATCAGCTCAGGAGCCCGCAGGTATGGTGTGTGTCACTCACTCTGGTTAATCCAACAGGAAGCCAGCTCTGAGAGCCATTTCTTTAGCGACTGACACATCACTACATCATTCCCTTTCCTAATGTCCTGAAGAACGGTCGGGAGCGCAGGCGGAGTGTTTAGCTAACCTGCAGGAAATGTCAATGACAGTTATCCAGAAAGTAGCTAAGGGTTACCAGAGATAATTCTGAGATGTTCGCCAGGTACTTTTAGAATTTAAAAAGTCAAGAAGGGGGTCTGAAAAGCAGATGTTTAGTCATCTAATGACTCTTTTGTATGAAAATTAAAGTGAAGCCTGAGGGTTAAGGCTCATATGATTTATAGAGGCTCAAAGTTCAGTTTCCAATTGTAAATACATTTCATTCTACTGTCAGTTTAAAGAAATAATACAACTGTTATATGTGTGAAAACAAAGTTACAGCTGTCTGTAATTCACATAATATGTTTCTGTGTTTCCTACAGATTTTCAACAGGTGGTTGTGGTTAAAGAAGAAGCTTCAGAAGAACAGAGTGCTCATGTCAACCACCAGCACCTAGATTTTCTCCACAAAAAGGAGGAACAGGAGAAACTCTTGTCTAGTATGGAGGGAGAGCATCTCCATTTGAATAAGGAGACTGATGCTGCCAGTTTTCAATCCTTTAGCCATAAAACACATTTAAACAAACACACGAGAGTCCACACAAAGCAGAAACATTTTGCCTGTGAGCACTCTGGACAATGGTTTCACCAAAAGACTAATTTAACCACACACATAAGAGTCCACACGGGACAGAAGCCTTTTGCTTGTGAGCTCTGTGGAACAAGATTTAGCCAAAAGACAAATTTAAACAGACACATGAAAGTCCACACAGGAGAGAAGCCTTTTGCCTGTGAGCTCTGTGGAAAAAGATTTAGCCAAAAGACAAAATTAAACAGTCACATGAGGGTCCACACAGGAGAGAAGCCTTTTGCCTGTGAACTCTGTGGAAAAAGATTTAGCCAAAAGACACAATTAAACAGTCACATGAGAGTCCACACAGGACAGAAGCCTTTTGCTTGTGAGCTCTGTGGAATGAGATTTAGTGAAAAGGGAAGTTTAAACAAACACATGAGTGTCCACACAGGACAGAAGCCTTTTGCTTGTGAGCTCTGTGGAACGAGATTTAGCCAAAAGACACATTTAAACAGTCACATGAACGTCCATACAGGAGAGAAGCCTTTTGCTTGTGAGCTCTGTGGAACGAGATTTAGCCAAAAGACAACTTTAAACAGTCACATGAGAGTCCACACAGGACAGAAGCCCTTTCCTTGTGAGCTTTGTGGGAATAGATTTAGTGAAAAAGGAAGTTTAAACAAACACATGAGTGTCCACACAGGACAGAAGCCTTTTGCTTGTGAGCTCTGTGGAACGAGATTTAGCCAAAAGACAAATTTAAACAGACACATGAAAGTCCATACAGGAGAGAAACCTTTTGCCTGTGAGCTCTGTGGAAAAAGATTTAGCGGAAAGACACAATTAAACAGTCACATGACTGTCCACACAGGAGAGAAGCCCTATCCTTGTGAGCTCTGTGGAACGAGATTTAGCCATAAGACAACTTTAAACACACACATGAAAGTCCACAAAGGACAGAAGCCTTTTGCCTGTGAGCTCTGTGGAAAAAAATTTATCCGAAAGACACAATTAAACAGTCACATGAGAGTCCACACAGGAGAGAAGCCCTTTCTTTGTGAGCTCTGTGGAACGAGATTTAGCCATAAGACAACTTTAAACACACACATGAAAGTCCACACAGGACAGAAGCCTTTTGCCTGTGAGGTCTGTGGAACGAAATTTAGCTTAAAGTCAGCTTTAAATAGACACATGAAAGTCCACAAAGGACAGAAGCCTTTTGCCTGTGAGCTCTGTGGAAAAACATTTATCCGAAAGACACAATTAAACAGTCACATGAGAGTCCACACAGGACAGAAGCCTTTAGCTTGTGAGCTCTGTGGAACGAGATTTAGCCAAAAGACAACTTTAAACAGTCACATGAGAGTCCACACAGGACAGCAGCCCTTTCCTTGTGAGGTCTGTGGAACGAGATTTAGCCACAATGCACATTTAAATTGTCACATGAAAGCCCACACAGGACAGAAGCCTTTCGCCTGTGAGCTCTGTGGTAAGACAGTCAGCTTAAAGTCAACTTTAAAAAGTCACATGAGAGTTCACGCAGGACAGAAGCCTTTTGCTTGTGAGCTCTGTGGAACGAGATTTAGCCAAAAGACACATTTAAACAGACACATGAATGTCCACACAGGACAGAAGCCTTTTGCCTGTGAGTTTGGTGGAAAAGATTTAGCGAAAAGACAAATTTAAACGGTCACAAAAGAGTCCATGAAGGACAGAAGCATTTTACTTCTGAGCTCTGTAGACGAAGATTTCGCTGAAAGAAAACTTTAAACAATCATCTAAGCATCCACTAGGGCTGAACGATCTATTGAAGGGGTCTCCAACCTTTTTTGGCCCGTGAGCTACTTTTACACAAACACAATGAAAGTACAGCAGAGTTACTGCCATATGATTTATTTCCATGAAGGTGCTTATGTTAAACATGCTATACTTACTATATTAACATGCATTGTACTCACAAGTTGATTTCTCTGTATTTCAGTACATCAGTATATATATATATATATATATATATATATATATATATATATATATATATATATATATATATATATTAAACAAAACATATTTAGTTTTTTTTAACTAATCAAATACTTTCAGATAATGAATAATAAATCTACTTCATGTGAATGATTTGGTAATTTTTTTAGAAGGTTAGTAACATAACTTTTTAAGCACACAGGAACAGCTAACTTGTAAAGCTGATGATATTTTATATAAAATACAAGCTAAATGTGATGAAAACACAAAAGTCTAAATAGTTTGAATTGACGTAAAAATGTAAAATCAGAAATAAGACTTGTTCCTGCTCTCCTGATTTATTGAATAATTTTAATTGTTTTTTTGGTCATGAAAATAAAGTTTTGCTACGTTTATTGCTGACAGTATGAAGGTTGGCGGTTTATCCTTTTTTTCTGCATCTTGTAGGTTTTTTTTCTCCGCAGGTCTGAAGGCTGTGCGTTACACAGAGCAGAGAGACAGAGAGCAAGAGACCAGAACCAAAATAAGTGATGACATCACACCAATCTTAAAATATTTACATTGGCTTTCAGTAACTTACAGGATTGATTTCAAAGACCCTTTACTTACTTTTAAATCATTAAATGGCCAACGACCTCTGTATATAGCAGAGATGTTTGAGACGTATCACCTTTCAAAATCACTTAGGTCAGCAGATAAATCCCAACTGGTACAACCCAAAGCCCACACTAAGCACGGAGAGGCTGCCTTTAGCTGCTATGCGGTTCGTCTCTGGAACTGTCTTCCAATAGACATTAAGACCTCTCCCACCATTTCCATTTTAAAATCCAGATTAAAAACTAAACTTTTTCATGACGCCTTCCATCAACCTATCCTTGCATCTGTGCTCTATTAGGTCTTTGTCTGTACTCTGTTAAATTTATTCTATCTGCATTTATGTATACATATTCTGTGCTGTTTTATTGTGTATTATTGTGTAATTAAAGTGAATACTTGTAATAAAGTGTAGTTATTGTGTAAAGCAGGATATACTAGGAATGATTAATAAAAATAAAAACTAGAATTTAACCTGAGTTACATGGTAATAACAGTTTAAGAACTCAGAAACAATACACTAGCTTACTGTAAGTACTAAGTAATTAGAGGACTAGAAGAAAGCGCTACCAATAATTTTACTTAACATGCTTTTATTTTTGTGTGCTATGTTCTGTGTCAATATTCTTTGATTTTATTTTACACAACATGATGTGAC